ACCGACATGCATGGGCGAGGCATGGGCTGCCTTGAACTGCTACTCTCCTTGATGGTCTATATTCTTACACAATGTACAGAATCGCTTATTATCCTTACTCTGCAAGCAACAAGACATCAAGTTTCAAGCTGTACACTGGCCTGTCAATGCACTGTAGATCGTAAAGGATAGCACCCACCGCTCTTACCTGCCCCCCACATTCCACGCCAAGCCGATGAATCAGTAACAACACTATGCTGCCACACTGACTACCAGATCAATTTAACACACTAAATACAAATCTAAAATGGGTCGCCAATCACAGTAAAAGTGGGAGGACACCACCATTTTTGTGGCTTCCTACACTGCATCGCTGCATCTTATGATAGCATACAAGGATGTTCCATCATGGGAGATGCATACCCCCTGTGGTCTGCAGCAGTTGCCATGTTCAATAAACCCCCCGGGGGGGGGGAGGGTATTCTAATACCCCTGCACTATTCAACACCCACGCGCTATATCCTCTGTGATCAACGATATGAAGCTGGACCACATTGAGCACAATCGTGTCTTGTGCCACCAAACCATTCCAGCCCAAGCACAGACAAGCACTTGGCCCCAGTGTGTTGTGCACAATACGTCGTCACACAGCAAGGGAAACACTTGCCTGCTCTGCATAGGAACCCCAGAGTGCCCTGACCCTCCCCTCCCCATCGGTGATCAACCCCGAAAACCGGCTGCCGAAATCCTGATCCAGCTTGAGGACCTCCTCGTGCACCGCCCTGAAACGTGGAACTTCTGCACAGGGGATGCCCAAGGCCAGGGTGGCATTGGTCACGATGGAGCTCCGCTTCATCACTCGCAGGGACTCCGTAAGGCCTACCAGCACGACCTGGTCGCCACGCTTCAGTGTTGGGGCAGGGAGGATCTCAGCAGCACGGATCTCTCGCCTTGCCTCGACAGGGAGGTCAGACGGGTCGTAGGAAACGATCGCAAAGTTGTGGAGTGGATGCAGGAACCTGTCTTGCACACCAGAGCACACATTTCGTTGGGAGGAATGTTGTGTGGGATGGCAATAAACTAGACAACTCCTGGCAGCCGACACCGGCAACTAAGGAAAATTTACAACCATGACATTGTGCATGCTTATGGAGTGAAAAAGTGCTTGCGTCTAGCAGCTGCTTGCAATTCAGCAGACTCAACAACAGCAAATGACGTCTTCAACACCAATTCCTTCAAAAACTATCAAATACCATAAAGTGCGTTCATTGTGTGACATCACTCAATTTGTGCTGCTGCAATCAGAACAGCTGCAGCCCTTTGCTGAGAGCTGTGGAGGCCCAAACTCCAGAATTCTTAAACCATCTCTCTTCAGCCGAGCCAACGTTTGTGATCTATTTCAAGCGTGGCAAGATTGCAGTTGGCATCCAGATCGATATGATTACAGAGCACAGGCAGGATGAAACAGCCTGGAGATCAGTAGATGCATCGAGAGCACTGTGTTAACTTAACAATTGCGGCGTCTAGGGATTGCACCTGCCATCGCAACATTGGTGCAATGGCATGGTCTGCCATATGCAACAAATTTTATCCGAAGAATTCATTGCCTGCGACTGGAAAGGTCAAGTTTGAGAGCCATGCCCACCTGACTATCCCAGAGACTTCTGCAGGGTATGCCCCAAAAGATAGCATCACATCGCAGGGCCCAATGGCAACCGTGTTTCTGTCAACCAGCACCAGCCCCAGCTTGTCTGAATGGTGGACAACAACACCGCTACCAGCAAAACTCTAGAAACACAGAGTGTAACCATTAGAAAAGTCTGCCGCACTAACCATGTCATGCCAGGAGGTGCATCCCTGCCACAGCATCACGTCAACAACAACAAGTCACACACATGGGGTGAAAATAATGGCTGCTCCTGGCATCCTACCCGCAGTAGCCCAAATCCAGAAGTGATATTCTGGTGTGGCCATCTTTTTCATACACTTGTCAAAAGATGCACCATCTTTGCACCTTTCAAAAAATGGCGGTTTCTGTGGCCAACATTTCTGCAGTGCAGCAGGAATGCGCTGGTGGATCTGACAATTCTAGGGCCAAAAATGGTCAATGCTTCTGGTGCAAACCCTCCAACAAGAAGACATTCGTCACGTGCATCACTCAGAGTCCCACGCAGACCATCAACCTTTCTGTGGACTGGTGCCAGAACCAAACACTGGGCAGTGCGCTGCGTTGCTATCATAATGCGCAATTTCTCATATTTCCTGTCAAACGGTCAACAAAAGGAAAGCTGATTGCTCGAGCATGTAGTTACAGTGCACTGGCATAGAATGCACATCGTGTGTTGCAAACAATGAAACAGAAGCATTTATCACAGGCTGGCTGATAGAGCTTCCATTGGCATCTAAAACAAGTGGCCATATTGAAATCAGAGGGCAAAGCCGACTTCTGTACACAGCAATATTGCACCACAGCACATGGTCACAATCCACAACATCTTCACTCGTGCTTGGAACAGCTTCAACATATATGCAATATTCTTGGACAAAGAGCAAAAGCCCCACCTTGGAGTGAACACCATCAGAGAGGGCTACCAATGGTATGTCAACATCCACCAGCACCATGGACTTGCGAATCTTCATTTCAGTTTGATCAAGCACCTGTGGCAATTCCAATGAGTCCTTATTGCATCTTTCCAGTGCATTCTGCCATGCTGGCAGCATATGCAATTTCTTTCTGCCTCGCGGTGAAATGACAATCGTTCCAAAGCCAAATTTGCACTCAAAAGTGGCATGAGCAGAACGACTGCATATCAAGGACAATGCTCAGTGATGCAGGTACTGACACACACCAGCATATATTAGAGAAACACAGCTACAGGATTGAGATAAGATATTGTTTAGAGTTGAACCTCCACAAGAAGCAACAACACATTGGCACACTGCATTTTTGGGTTGGTACAGCCTTGCATGGGCTCGGAAGACCTGCAGGCCTTGGACTGTAAAGCAAGTTGCAATGTACCATTCTGTGTCAGAAATCATGATTAACCAGGCTGTTGTGCACCACACGCGATACTTGGGCCAGCTGCATCCAACAAACGTTCGTGCACTGTGCTGTGCATTTGGAACACACTGAAGTGGGGACATCTCCTTATCTCAAGCAACAGGCTTTAGGTTCTTCATGACATGTGGCGAGTTGTACAAACAACGAACAGAAACAATGGACTTTCCAATTTTCATGCTCTGCATAATCATAACTGGAACACACTGTACACACAGTCCACATCCACACAGAATTCTGATAACCAACTGACCAACCAGCACATACGTGTTTCTGCCTGCTGCTGCGGTGTGCAAAGAACAGAGTCACACACTTGTGCTCCTTGGACAACGGCCACGTCAAACAAACAGGGCACTAAAACTGACCAACCCTTGTGTACTGCTACAGATCGCTAGCTTGGCAAAAGGGTTTGCCTTATCATGTAACGGCAAGTTCGTCATCGATGCAATCCCGCTTGTGAGTGCAGTGCTCAGCAGGGCGGCGCCAATGACTAACCTGGTCGGTTGCTGGGTTCTGAGGGTGCGATTGTGGACTGTTAGGTTCGGGGACCTCTTCTGTGGAAGCCTTAGTTGGAGTTGGGAGGCTGCAGGGCGTGGGAAGGCTGGTTGTTGGGTGCCAGGTGCCTGCGGCGTAGTCCCTTGACCAGAACACAGGAGGACCATACCTGTCACACACGCACACGGCAGTGTCAGTTGAGCAATCTCAATCAGTGGCCAAAATTCAACGATGCAGCTGGGGACTGAATGCAAGCGAGACAGGCAGTGCTCAGGAGCCGCACAACAATGCAGTGCCCGAAACAGTTGCAAACCTGATCAGCACGCTGGTAGCTGCTGCTGCTTGTTCCCAAGTTACACATAACTTCTCTTCGCTCTTTTTGACAATATGCGCTGCTGCACTTGCGGCAGCCCAGTAAGTCACTGAGCTGGTGTTCTTCGCAAGGCTGGACTCAGCTATTTGCACCAGCCATGCATTCAACAACCCCACAGCACAGCTCAACAAGCTGCAAACTGTAGCCCACACCCACCACTGCCGGTCCATTTGCATGATCGCTGTCTTCATTCGCTTCCTCTCAACAAATGTGTAGTACCTGTGCCATAACAAACAGTCGAAACTGTTAAGCCTAAGTCTATACCTTGGTAAGTTTAAGTCTTATCTTAGTGTCCGCCAGTGCTGGGCCATACAACATGCTTGCAAATTCTGCAGTTGTTGTGGATCAAAACACATCTGGGTTCAGCACTAGACAGCAATTATCTCGGAACCTGGGTCAAACACAAACACAGGAATGACACAAAAGATATGCAACAAGTCGCTTGATCAGTCGACCAACAAACTATCATGTGTCCACACCCTGGATGGATTCTTATCCAGTAGTTTCTGACATCCATGTGTCATGTGAGCCACAGAGTGAAAGAAAGGGTTTAACAGTAAGGCCAGACTCCAGAAATACATGTGGCATCGGTTTGCAGGTGAAGGAGCAAGTACGTAGTCAAATTTGGCCCATGTTGTGCGTTTTCGTGTTGTTCCCATTGGCGTATGCAATCCCCAGGCGCACAGAACAGGCAGCCAACGCTGCTGTTGCAAAACAGAACCTGAATACCCTGCCAGCTTCCCTTTTTGCTATACTTTTTTCTTACCACATGCTTACCACAATTCATTGAAGTGTCATTCTCCCGCACATTCTAAAAACAACAAGGCAGGGACTGTTTTTCTGACTGTCCACAACAACACAACTGTGCAAGCTTGCATTGTATTGAAAAGTTTGGCAGTGCCGATCGATGCAACACCTACTCCAGAGGTACACGCATGCCATGGTCCAGTGTCTTCAGAACTGAGCCGAATGTTGACAGGTCTGGAGTCGGAACTCCGTTCAGGGATCTCAAGATTGCATGCTTTGGGACTCCTGCTTTGCCCTGCCCAAAAAGCATCATACCCATTAGCAAAACAACACACAACAGCAACATCCACAGCCAAAACTGGCACATCTTCCAGAAGCACCTGCAGGGCCTGGATCAGTATATCAATCAAGTATGAGATTTGTGGCTCGACAAGTGTGGTGGCGTTCCAAGCAAATCCTGTACAACGCTGCTCAATAATCTACATGCATTGATCGGCACCTCACAACAGGTGACTATGCAATCCCACGCACCAGCACATATCCTGGCTCTGCCACATACACCTGGCCGGTCTTCACCCTGTTGTTGCGGGCCTGCTGGTAGCTCAAGGCATGGATGCTGGCAGCAGCAAACTCAAGGAAACAGGAGGGGGTCACGGCGTGCAGGTCGGCAACCTCGATCTCCACTTTGATCTGGTCACACAGGCACACGATCACAAAAGTGACCCCCGCATCACCTTCTACAGTATATGCATGAAGGCTTGTAAAAATTCATGTTTGGGATGAGTTGCCCAATCTGTGATGTGTATCCCCTTATAACAACACCAATACCTAAAGGCAGCAATGGCACAATACCATTCACCACATTTCTTTGGATGTGAGCAGCACCGACTTCAAACGCATTATCAGTTTTGCCTGATGGTGCAACATTGGTCACTGATAGATGCGATCAGTGCAGACTTTCGCCTCCACCGCAACCAGTTAACACACCTGCTTGCCCCCTCTATCGACTTCCAAGCCAACCTTCTCTCCGACCTTGTTGTCCAGCAGTTCCTCCATGGGCAGAAACTGGGTCACCACCTCACCTTCCAGCCTCACAAGGATGTCTCCAGCTTCCAGGAGGCCGTCTGCTGGGCCACCTGGCAAGATCGTGTCCACCACCAACATCCCAGTGCTCTGGCCATTGACAAGGGCTGCAGCAGTGCACCATGCAGATTGGTAAAACATAGTTCCTTTCTCCCACATGTCCATGACATGGAGGTCAGTTCCAGCACTTGCAGCAACATGCCCCATAGCCAGTGTGTCGTTTTCAAATTGAACGTAAAGATGCATTCATAAAGTCCACTGCATGTTAGGAGCCTCTCCCTTTCATTCTTGTGATCAGCCTGCCACTTATATTACATCCATCCAGGCACACAACGCATTCTTCTCATAGCATCCCTTGGAATTCAAATCATTCATCCATTCCCTTTGCTTCCTTCCAACCAAAGAAGAGATTGGCTGGAACATACCCCGAGGGTTGGGTATAGTAATTGACACTGACAATGGCCCAAAACAAACTAGTGACTGTGGACTTGATGCACGTTATAACTTGGTGAGCTGTGGTGCAAGAATGCCAATGTGCTGTGGGGTTGAATGTGTACTATGTCTCGGCACATCTATTAGTGGCCACAACGTCATGAAAGAAAAGGCTGCCACATCCCAAGAAGATCAATGTGGGAAACTGCGGTATAGCCAGAGGAACCAGAAAGCACATGCATGGTAACACAAAACAACCAGTTCCATGATAGTGCCATTCAGTACAGCACATTATCAGGACTCAGCGCGGTATACATGTTGCATTCAGATGAGAACAAAAATGATAATTTAATAAATGTGCGTATTGGGCAGCTGAGTCAACACAGTGGTGGTGCTCACCATGGCTGGCTCCATCGGCTGCTGTTATTGCACGAACCTCCTTTTCTGTCTGGTTGTGCAGCCCAAGCCTGCGCACCTCATCGAAGCCCTTGAACACAAAAGAAGTCTGGAAGTCGCCTCTGGGGATGTTGGGCAGCTTCCACCCTGATCCACGGTCATTGGGATCCTTGAATTGCTGCTCAGCAAAAGTAACCAAATGCACTTCCTTCAGACAACATGCATGGCTAGAGCCCTGGCTGAAATGAAGTTCAAAAGATTGATGCCAACCTATAGCATGCAATGCCCTTGCCTTTTGCAAACACACAGCAAGCATCGCTGAGATCCATTTTATTCTCATTTCTCACCAAAAGCAGAGATTGCTGAGCAGTCACCCTGTGATAAAGCAGTGAAGACAGCCATGCCTAGACTGTATTGCCAGAGTCAATTCCAAACTGCCATCAACAGTGCTCACCACCACAACGGTTGGACGAGGACGGTTGGATGAGAGGTTGAACTCCTATTTTGGTACATGGGGCAGCATTTGCCACCGATCCAACACAGCAAAGAGTCTGCAAAAGGTTGTTCAGAAGAGCGAAGCATGACCCAAGGGAACACACCATGTTGAAAGCAAACATGTTCTCCAAAACTTGGCTATGCAATGTAACAGCATGTGATGCAAACATAGCACAAGCGATGGGAATATGTCCACAAACCTGCAGCAGCTTGAGGGTGCGCACCACCCGCTCCAGGGGCAGATAGTACGCTGAAGCCGCCTTGTTTTTACCACCAGCATTCAGGCCCACAGCCCTGCCATAGCAATCGATGACAGGCGATCCACTGGAACCCCCCTTCGTTCCTGATGCTGCCTGGAGGTAGACTGACATGGCAAACAACACGGTTGGCATCCGTCTGGCCAACAACCCAGCAAGCAGACCAGGAAAGTGGGGAGGGCTGCAAGAATCGCTGATTGAATCCAGCCAAGGGGGGTGATGGTGAGGCAGGAGCGATCGCGATGGTGGCAGCTGTTGGAGGGACGTTGGTAGGGAAAACAGGAATGGGCAACAGTCAAGGCAGTGACGGTGGAGCTCCAAGAGCAGGCGTACATGTGTTGAAGTCGTTGTATCCCTTCCTCCCATACACTGGAGCATCCCGGTCTAGCCGTGCCAGAGTTCCAGCAAGTATTGAAACCTGAATGAGCAGAGATGTGCACAATTCATGTTCAACATTATTGTGCTTTGTGCTTGTCAGGTGGTATATCCACATGTCTAAAGCAAAACATCCATGCTTCCTAAAGGGAGATGGCATGGCTCATTGTTGGAGTCTCAACTTTTTGCCACTGACTTTATTGACACAAGAACACTTCTGCACAATCTCTATGGGTGGAAAGATCATGGTGAAAATTCTTTCTTCATCCAGGGGGATGAGCATGTGTGCTAAATTTCCCTTTCATTCCAAAACACCATCCCAGCCAGATCATCAGGATTTCAGTTCCATGGCCACCTCAGTTCCATCCAGTCTTCTCTAGGCTGGAGCTAACAGGAAATCCATTCAGCTGTGCCCAGCCAGGGCATGCTGTCCCTACTGCAATCCATGCAGCATAACAAAGCCCTCCTAGAACAAATGGGTGAAAGGATGGACCTTGCCGCAGGATCAAGACATTGGTCCTCCATCCAAGCCATCAAAGGAGTCTTATTATGCATACTAAAAACTCTTTTCCAATATTGGGATGCTCTCTAGCAAAACTCACACTTCTTCAAAAGCCAAAATTTGGGATCAAGGCACACTGAGCACCCAAGAGCTTGCGACCTTCAGCAACACAAAGCTGCACTGCTTAGATGCCATTTTTGGGGCTTGGGGCCAACTGGGAGGCAGGTCCACCTGCTGCCTAGGCTCCGATCGCACCTTTTCTCCGGAGTCGTTTCCCACCACCCTGACGTCCAGCCCCACGCAGGCAGCTGAGGGCTCCAGCGGCACCTCCAGTAGCTCCATGAACTGCAGCTTCGTGGGGTCGAACTGCATGAAGGCAAAGTCATGGACAGGGTCATAGTACAAGGTGTTGACAGGGACCTCCTCTCTGTTCAGGAAGATCGCCTCCGACGTCGTGGGACCTGCGGACATGGCGTCAAGGCAGCCGTTGAGAAGCCCACCCCACCCGCACTTCCCATTCTTATGGAGTCCAACGGCCTGCCATTGCCCCAAGAGCAATGCACTGGCGCTGACAGCCGTCCGCTCAACGGAAGGACAACGATGTCGAACAACGGACGCTCCATTCCCGAGCGCCGCCTGTTCCGATGCCCTTCAACTCGCTGCCTAAGTTGATGCAGAGCTCCTCGGGCGCGACAGGTACGGGGTGGTACATGCACCGTACGCATCCATGCCCCGTTCCCGTACTCTTCAACAACGCAGCCGTGCGGCCCGCGGTGGCAATGAGATCAATCCGCCGGCCGCGCCCGACGCTTGGGACCCAAGAGGCGAGAAGCACCGCGCCGCCCGGCCCCAAGCCAATGCCGTCCGGGTGGCCGACGGCGACGGCGATGCGTCATCGCCCTCGGCCGCACCGCGGACAGGCCCCACCTGGAGTGACGACGTGCCGATTGGTAAGGATCAGTCCCCGCGCCTTGTCCACCACGAAGCCCGTGGCGTAGGAGGAGCACGCCGCCTCCGTGTCGAACGGCCGCGTCTGGGTCACCCTGCGGCGCCCACCGGCGAGCGGAGCTCACAAACACACACATTGGGCCCCGCGGCCGACGCGCCCAGGGCCGGGGCGCCAACCGCGCGCTCGACGCCCAACCAACCCCAAGATCTGGCGATCAGAGCGCGCCGCGCATCTTCGCCCACCACCCGCGTCAGTGGACGCGAACACGTTCCCCGTGCGCTCGGACGGCGTCGGATTGATGCCGCCGGCGTCCAACGTGGTCGCGGCGCAGCTCGACACCACGGCGCGCACACATGACCCCCAACATCCTCGACCCGATCGCTCTTCGCCCCCACACGACCTCTGGCGCCACTGTCCCCCTCCCCCTTCCCAACTGGGCCCTTTCCCCCCCCCCCTATGCCGCGATCCCCCTTGAGCTCCGTCAGACCAAGTATTGGCCCCATCAACGCACTTGAGCACCACGCACGCCGGCACCACCCGGTCCAGCGTCTGGCGCCAGGTCTCCGCGGCGGCGCCCCCGGGATGCCCGTCGGGCTCAGCGGGCTCCGCCATCCCCGGCCACGACCGCCAGCGGTCCCGCCCGTCCTCGGGGGCCTCCGGCGATGCGGGCGGCTCGGCGGCTAAGGCGGCGGCGCGGTACGGGGGAAGGGCGAGCAAACGGCGTGCGGCGAGCAGCAGGCGGGAGCGGCCGGGCTGCAGGGCGCGGCAGGCGATCGAGAGCATGCACGGGGCGGCCGGGCGCTATTGGACGGCGAGCGGGGCCCCCAGCACAAGGCGGAGCGCTTTGACAGACGGGCAGTGGGGATTCTGCGCGGGGAAGAAAAAAAACGAAACGGTGAGGGGCGCTTTTTTTACCGCTGGATTGCGCTGCCGCCACGTGGGCCCGAGGGGCCGGGGGTGCGGGGTTGCCTGTGGACTGTTTTGGGGGGCGAGGCCCCTTTGCGAGCGGTGGAAAAGGCGGGAGGGGGGCGGGTCGCGAGCCATCGGCCGAGCGCAGTCGCCGGGGCTATTTTGAGGTTCCCCGCCCGCTGCGCCAGTCGGTGCCCACCCTTTTGTGGTCGGAGGCCGCAGCCGATCGACCTCTCGCCTCGGAACCGCGCTGAGATTCGAAGGGCTGAGGAAATGGCGCGGGGATCCGGCGGCAAGGGCGTCAAGGGCCCCTGGTTCCCGGACAGCGGCTTCGTGTTCTTCCTGCGGCAGTACCTGGGCTTCTCCCTGGCGGTGGTGGCCGCCGCGCTGCTGATTGCGGGCTACGACAGGGGCTGGATGTCCAACAACCAGCTCAGCTTGCTGTGCCTGGGGATCGTGCTCGTGGGGCTGCTGGTGCACGAGTCGCGGCCGTTCAAGGTGGGTCGATTGATTCGCAGGGGGGGCTGGGGCGCAAGCGGCGGGGCTGATTCGCCCCACATCAGCGTCTCCTCCCTAAAGGCAGTTCGCTGGCCCTGTCAATGGGTAGAAGAAGATTTACCCCGCATGGTGTCGCGGCAAAGCTGTGCATTTGGCCTCCGTTGTATGTCCGAACACGGATGGAACAGCCGCAAAAATGTCTATTAGCCACGTGCAGGGCCCCGACCCTATAATTGGGTGCCATGGGGCACGAGTGCTCATCGGCAGTCGCTGCCGACGGCAACCGGGCGCTGGTACTTTTCGGCGCGTGCGTCTCGAAGATGCCAGCGAGGAACTGCCGCCGGGACGTTGCGATGGTCTGTTCTGCGCCTTCGGTTGCGAGAGCCGTGAGCGGTGTTGCCCTCTGGTACCCGTAGACTTCGCCGTCGCGAGTGTCGAATTGCCTAGCGATTCTGCGATTCCCGCATCGGTCTTGAAAGACAGTGTGCCGCGGTGGGCTGTGACCGGCGCACCCGGCCCTGCCGCATCGGCCGTGCCCCTGCTGTGTGGTGCCCTCGCAGTGAGGAACCTGGTGGTGGCCTTCTGCGTGCAGTTCAACGCCTGATAGCATTGTCTTGCCCCCTGAACACAAGTTTCCATTTTCTCCGTTGCTGTTAGTTTTCACGTGATACTGGTTGCACCTCGAGACCGCTGCATTATGTCTTGCACACCTGGGCAATTTCTCAAGAATCTTGCCGGAGGGGGCCCCCTATTGTTGTCCTGCTGCTTCTGTCTGATGCTCAGAGACAGAATTCAGTTATGGCTCAGTAAAGTTCCAGCAGTACGGGCGCCTCTGTGGTGAATCTTCTTTTGTGTGGTGGGCTTGCACCCCTGCAGCCTAAACTTTCTTTGATGTTCGAGTCAGTGAGTCACCAATGCGACTGCTCGACCTTGTAGCACCAAAGGCCAAGGCGCCAGTGCTTGTCCAATTCTACACACCCCTAATGCACATCAGAACAGTGTTGCCTCTGGATCCGCATCCTGACAGCTGAGTGCATTTTTTGACAACAGAGATGGGAGAACATTACAGAGGAAGTGGAACAAATGAACAAGGAAGGTCCAAATCCCACTCCACAGCGGCGACACAAGAAGGATCAGTGAGGGGGAGCCTGTACAGGCTTCAATTTTTCAATTCTGGGCATTTTTTGGCTCACATGCATCTCGGGTTCTGCTGGGTAGCTGCAGGTTTAGACGCTTTCTTCATTGATTGTGTACTGGAGGAATTGGAGAGTGCTTTTAATCTCACCTTTTGCAAAATGAAAACGATTGATCGGCTGATCATGTTTCTATGCCTGACAAAATCAACTACGGTGTGCCCTGCCAATGGGGGGCCCATCTCGACTCTCGGGAGTTGCATGATCTTTCCGAAATCGGGATACACAGTGACCTGCCAGGACATGCGAATTGTGACAACCTGGCTGGCGGCCATGTTGATGCCAAAGTGTTGACGACCATGCTGATGCCACAAGCACTATTCTGCCACACATGCAATACCTGGAGCCTAAACTCCTGAGGCAGATGGCAGCCAGTGCGTAGTCTCATTGCCTTCACCAGAGGCTGTGCTTGGCTGCCAAGAATAGTTAGAGTGATACCAAGAAAGAAGCAAGTTGGCAGCGGCCCTCGTCGCTGAAGTGGCAAGCTGTATTGCTCGTTGCCAACTGTTTGGGGCTCGAGACACGGCTATTTCTTGGCAAAGGGCGGGCTGTGCCCTTTGTTTCAGCCTGTTCCCAGTTCACATGCAGCCATGGACAGTGTCCTTGCTGAGAGGTCGTTGGCAAAGAGAAGCCCTGCAGGAATGTGGGCCGGTCGCCAACAGCAAAGACCCGATGTCAATGACCCATGTCAAGGGCGTCTGCCCAGAGCTGGCTGCTACCACGCATGGCCAGCACCCCAGCGCAAGCAAATGGTCACGACTTTTGGTCGTTTCCATTGTTCACGTGCCCAAGGACTGCTTGCTGATAGCGCATCGACCATCCTGCAGAGAGCCTTCCAGCGCCACCAGCTGGACGTTCCCATCCGGCACTTGTGTGCTCGAGCCCGACCCTCAACGCGACCAAAAGGACCACCTTTGCGCCAGTCCCAAAGGCCAGCCAGCCTGCTCCCCTGCTTCCCTCCAGGCATGGCGCCCAGCAAAAGGAAGTTGTTCCACGCCGGTTGAGCAAATGTGGAGGAGCAACCCCTCGAAAACCGACAGTGGCACGCAAAAAAGAAAGAACAAGCATCCAAAAGCATCCTGGATTCCCAAAAATACTCAAACAAGCAAGTGCTGCGCGAAGTACCAGACCAGCCAGTGCCGTGGGGCCGCAGCGCGTCCACGTCACCACCCATCACCGCCCATTACACGTCCGGCCCTTGCTCATTCTTCTGAGAGCCCCATTCCTTGAACGCCGGCACCCCACCCCCGCGTCCTCGTCGGCCGTGAAACGGCGAGTCCGGAAATTGGAGAAGGGGGGAGGCGCTCCCCCGGGTGGCGGGCCCAGGCGGCGCACCCGGCGCTGTGAACAAGGCTTCGGCCGGCCCGGTGGGGCCCCAGGCGGGATGGCCGGACAGGGCTCGGAGTTCGAGCACAACGAGAGCCTGTTGGACCTGCTCATGCGGCAGCAGACGCGCGGGGAGCACGGCGTCAGGTGCGGCCAGCAAATCAGTACTTTGGGACTGTATGCTTGCTGTGCACCTTGGGGCTGTATGCTGTGGGACTGTGTACTGGGAATCTGGGCTAGCTGAGGGCAATCCTGGGCTTGTGGATCGGGCCGTGTGCTGCGCGGGGTGGGAGGCTGGGAGGGGGAACGGGGGGGGGGGGAGGGGAGATCGACGGGGAGAGGAAGGGAGGAGGTCCCTGGGCGGCGGGGATTGAGTGGGAAGGAGGAAAGGGGCGGGCGCGGTCGATTGGCGTGGCAGGAGGGGGGGGAGGGGGGGTGAGCCGGGAGGATGCCAAGAGCGCGTTCGAGAAACGCCGCGCGAGCTTTTGGGCCGGCGGCGCCCCTGTGGGTGTGTGGGCGGCGCTGACCTCCGCGCGTGGATGAGTGTTGACTCGAGGGGAGGGGTGTGGGGCCGGGCTGGGGGCCGCGCTGCCGCCTTTTGGGACGGTGCGACGGGCGGCGACATAAAAATCTTCGGCCGTGACGAGCGGGGCCATGTCGGTGCTGGGCCGAGCCC